AACCCCAAAACCCTAAAGAAAAAACCTCTGAACACTAGATCCCCTAAACCCCTGAACCCTAACCCTAACCCTAAACACTAAACCATAGCAACTAAACGCAAAGCCCTAGACCCCAGCCGAAGAGCGTCACCAAGTCGAGGCGCTGGCGGAGGCAAACCTTACGGTGGCCGATATCAACTTCGTGGAGGCACCTAAAGTGTTTAGGGGTTTAGGGTTTTGGGGGTTTAGGGGTTTAGGGGAAAGTTTAGGGGTTTAAGGTTCAGGGTTTTAGGGTTTTAAAGGGCTTAGGGTTTAGTGTTTAGGGTTTTAGGGGGCCTGTAACGGAACCCTTAAAGGATCCCTTGAAGGAGACCTTCAGGAATTCCGAAAAGGGGCGACGACAGGAACCCTAAGTCTAGGACGATTTAGGGTTTAGGGTTCAGGGTTTAGGGGGTTTATGGTTTTGCGGTTTAGGACTTAGTCTAGGGCATCTTCAACTGGGTAGTCACCGTTATAGGAGCCTTATAGAAGTAGAAGCCTTAGAGAAGCCCTATGTACCCTAAGCTCCCCACCTGTAGTTTCCTTTAACTAAGAGGGGCCCTTCAACGCGACGTTTCAAGAACTCCTGAAAGGAAGGGACCCTTAAACGTGCCCGCGTAAAGGCTCCCTTCAAGGAGGCCTTAAAGGAGCCTTTAGCAGAAGGCAGGGTCTCACTGAGGGTTTGGGGGGTTCGGGTTTAGGGTACCCTAAACCCTAAACCCTAAACCTTAGTGCTTAAGGGTTTAGGGGTTCAGGGTTTTGTAACTTAGGGGTTGGCTAGGGGGCTTGAAGGCTCAGGACCACTAGCCCTTTGGGGCTTAGGGTTTAGGGTTTAGGGTCTTCCCTAAGGGTCCATGCACCCAACTTACTTTAGTATATAGCAAACGGTTTCAGGTTTAGGGGTTTAAGGTTTAAGGTTTAGGGAGCCTTTGGCCTTGAACCCTATCGCCTTAACCCCCAAGGCCTTAAGCACCTTTTTACCATGAACTCCCCCATGGACAAAATGTGCAAACAGTAAAGCCGTTCTGAACCATCGGTAGCCTATAAACCCCATGACGGCTTTTTAAAGCACCATTAGGTCCCCTATAAGATAATTATAACATCCCCCCTTGAACCGCATAACACCAATATAAAAGCCACGTTATCAAGACCTTATTAAGAAGCATCCAGCGCCTAAAATGTAAAGACCTTGTAGAATGCCTGTATAACCCCATATAAAGCCGACAAAAGTCTACAATCCCCAAGGGGTCTCCTGAACAACCGGTCTTTTCCTCTCAGGTTGTCGGCGGTGCCTGGCGAGTTCCCATGATTCAGCCGCGACCCAAGTAACCGTGTTGCTGTTTGCTTGTAACAGCAAAGCTTTTTCGACAAGTCCTTTTGGTGTTGTGTGATGCAGGTTTGGCGGGAGTGTAGGTTTTTGTTGTGAGTGCTTTTTGAAACTGGTGCTTCAGGCATTGATTGGGTTTGACGCGGTTTAAGAGTGGTTGTTTATCGGTCTTCTGTAGAGCTGGTTTCGGGTTCTATAAAGGTTCCTTTTGCGTTTCTAGACGGCTCCATTAGGTTTCTATAGGGTTCGTGTGGGGTTGTGTATTACCCGAATTAGTTAGTTGAAGTTTTACCACCATCTACCCGCAGACGACCATTCATATTTCGATGTGGCTCTAATGGCACGATGGTCGTTAGGGTTTAGGGTTTAGGGTTTAGGGATAGCATGAGCGATCCAGAAACTGCCGGTGCCTTTTCAGAGTCTGCTTAGAAATTGTTCTGCTACTCAGGCAAAGCTTGTTTAGCGCGAATGAATGCCAGCAGTACTAGAAGCATTTTTGGGCTTTGGGTGTAGGGATAGCAGGGTTGAAGAATATTGGCGCTTCGGGTGCCCGCGTGTCAGGGCTTTTGCACGCGTCCTCTGTGTCGGTTCAAGAAATGAGGCCTACGTTCCCCACTATCTGCCGATTGTCTTCTTTCGTTACGGAGCTGGCCATTAAACTGAACAACGGGGTTTAGGGTTTAGCGGTTTAGGGTTTAGGGGTTTAGGGGCAATGAGATACTATGGCTAGGTTCTTTCATTAGACAGAGTGGTTGTCGTGAGTCGATTTCTGAAAGGAACCCTAAACCCTAAACCTTATATACCCTAAACCCTAAATCGTACAATCTCGAACACGTTCGCGGCCTTTCCCAGGCCCGAGGACGTGGCCTCGTCCTAGCACTTTGCCCAGGCGGTACAGGCAAGATCTTGGTCGTGTTAGACCCGCCGGCGCTTACCGTATCGTTCGAGGCCTTACGCGACGGTTTAGGGTTTAGGGTTTAGGGCGCGGACTCCTGGCCCCGATGATGGCCACCACCCCGACCTCACCTTCGTCAGCTGAGTCGAGGCCCTGACCCTAACGGATTAAAGCCGACATGGACCCTATCCCCCCCACCAAACAAGAACCCAACAAAATCCCCGCCACTCCCTCCCGTGCCTGAGCACATGCAACGATCATCAGAGAACCCTTGTTACATTGTTTCTCTAGCCGGACACCGTACCCAGACCTGACCAAAGAGAGCCCAACGGAAAACCCTCTTGACCCCACAACCGGACCCTAGAAACCTTATAATCTTATGAACCCCAAAATCGCTGCGAACGCAAAAAACCGTGTAGACAGACCCCGTCTACCAACTAAAAACCCCTACAAGTAAAGCTCAACACCCTACGCCCTAAAACCTATACATGCTCTAAGCCCATACTCAACCCTAAACCCGGTAAGCCCCGAACCCTATTCCCAAAGCACCCCAAACCCTAATTATCCTGACTTAAACCCTATGCACCTCTAAACCCTTTTTCCCTTTCAAGTCCTAAACACCCCAAGCACTACCACAGCCGAAATCCGACAAACCGTATAAGCCCTAAACACACTTAACCCGAAAGCCCGTGTTTGCTCTAGGCACCCTAAACCCTAAACACCATAAGCCCTCGAACCTGTAAACCCTGAACACCACCCTAAGGGTCCAAAGGACCTAACAGTCATGTACTTGGGTTACGAATTGTAGTTTTGTAGGTTAGTATTCAGAAGAGTATATGATTAATAGGCACTTGGACCTTTAGGGCCATACAGCCTAAACCCTACACCTTAAACCCTAAACCCCAAACTAAACCCTACAAGCCCTGAGCCCCATAAGCCCTCGACCCAAGCCCTCTCAGCCCCAAGCCCTATGAGCCTTAATCCGAAACCCTACGTACCCTAATACCAGCCCCAAACCCTAACCCCTAATCCATATCCCAGGGGGTCTGTTTTTACTGTTATAAATAATGAGTATTTATGATGATGAGTGTTATAACAACTATTAGTGTCACTATTTTTGTTATTAGTCGTTGATTTATTCTTGTGTCCCGAGTCTAGGACATTTTCAGGTGGGTAGCTACCGTTATAGGAGCCTTAGAGAAGGACTATATCCCTTATGGAAGCCTTATAGAAGCCCTATATACCCTAAACTCCCCACCTGTAGTTTCCTGTAACATACCCTCAACCCTAAACCCTAAGCTCCAAACAGGAATCCTAGAGCCCCTGAAGAGAACCCTTAAATGGATTTCTTAAGGATCCCTAAAAAACAAGCCAGCCCTTAGAGGAAGCCTAAGGCCCTAAATGCTTAAAGGAAGCCTAAAAGACACCCTAAACCCCTAAACCCTAAACCCTACACCCTCAACCCTAAGGCCTAAACCGTGACATTTTAGAGTTTCCTTTAACCGAGGGATATCCTCAAGAAGTACTTTGCAGATGCCGGAAACGCCATGCCCCTGGGGCCTGGCGCCCAAGCGATGTCGAGACCCTTTGGGACTAAAGGACCCTTAAAAGTTTAGGGTTTAGGGTTTAGGCTAGGTTAGGGATTCAAAGTTTAGGGTTGAGGGTGTTAGGGCCTGGAAGGCTGCCTTAAGGACTAAAGGACCCTTGAAAGTAGCTTGGCGTTCTTCTGGTTCGCTCTTAGGACTTTAACTTTTTGGGTTTCTATATGGTTTATAATATTTAGGTTAAAAGTTTAACTTTTAGGAGGGGTTCAGAAGCCCTATATACCCTTATACTATGAATCTCTATATAGCAAATGAACCTTAAGCCCATTTAGGGCTCTTGTCGTCCTTGAGGACTCGAGGGCCCGCGTAGGGTTTACAGGGCTTCAGGACTTAGGGTCCCTATAAAGACCCTAAACCCTAAACCCCTAAATCCCTAAACCCCTAAACACTAAACCCCTGAACCAGGGTTTCGAGTTTAGGGTTTAGGATGGTTCAGGGGGTATAGGGGTTTACGGGTTTAGGGTTTAGGGTTTAGGGCTTACAGGGTTTAAGGCGCGTAGGGTTTAGGTTTCGGGGCCTAGAATGGTTTAGGGTTTAGGGCTCCTGGTGCTTAGGGTATGTGGGGACCCACATGCAGAATTTGAACTCTCCTTTCTTCTAATTCGGTTTAGGGTTTAAACCCTAAACCCTAAAGCCTAAACCCTAAACCCTAGGCTTTAGGGTTTAGGGTTACTTCTACTCTATGAGGAGCAACAAGATGGCATAGAGTCTACTGTACCAGGACCCTCCTTGTAGCCTCACCCAAATAATGGGTATTGAGGGTACAACCCTTAACCCTAGACCCAAAACCCTAAGCCCTAAACTAATGGTAGGTGGAGGGTCGAGGCATAGAGCTAAGAGGGTTGTCGGGGGGTTTCGAATTCTGGGCTTTGTTGGGTAGAGCTTAGGGTTCAGGCGTTTAGGCCTCGGCTTTACGGTTTAGGATCAGAAGCCCAGGGCCATGCGGATTCAACAGCATGGCATGGCACGATCAACCAGCCGCAGACCCTAAACCCTAAACCCAAAACCCTAAACCCTAGACCCAAAACCCTAAACCCTAAACCCTAAACCCAAAACCCTAAACCTTAAACCCTAAACACAAAACCCTAAACCCTAAACCCTAAACCGATTAGGGCTTGGCTCTTCGGCTGTTACCAGGGCCTTGCTCTGAGCCGAGGCAGCACCTCAACGGAGAGGAGGCTGCAGCAATGGGTCGCCCCCTCAGACATCAAAAGACACGCGGTTTAGGGTTTAGGGTTTAGGGTTAGGTATGGCTTATTGTTGCTGGCTTAGGGTTTAGGAGACTTTAGAATGTGGCTCTCGACTCCTGTTAAAGTTTGCTCCTATCTTGCATTATGGATTCTTAATGCTTCTCGTAAAGGGACGTCCAGAAGTAAATCTGTGTTTTGCTTATGTACCTTCACAAAGGCCACTAGAGAACCTTGTTTACATTAGGCATGCCCTGCATAAATGGCCCGAAGCAGCCGCTCTAAGGTTTTGGGATATTTTTTTCCGGTGCTGATGCAGGAGGAGAGGCAATGTATTTAAAGCAGCTAGGAGGATAGGTACTGTAGTGTAAGAAACCCTAAACCCTAAACCCTAAACCCTAAACCCTAAACCCTAAACCCTAAACCCTAAACCCAAAGGAGATGGAAGGATGAAGAACTAGTACTACGATGTTCTAGGGTTCCTTGTCATGCGCCTGGTAAAAATCTACCCAGAGTCTTGTTCTAATAATTAGGCCCCTAGCTCAGGCTCTACGGGCGGCAAGCTTTGTTTAAAGGTTGAGGGCCTTTAGGGTTCAGGGCTTAGGGTTTAGGGCTTGGGCTCTATGGATCGCAGGTTTTGGGCAAACGCTTCAGGAATTCAGAACAAGAGAGAGGATGTTTGGACGAAACGTCGTCACAGTAAGGTAGGGGGGGAAGGGGGTTGGCGGCCTTAATACCCGTAATAAGGACCTCATAAGCCCCATATAAGGGAGCATAGTCCTCTACCCCCTTTCGCCCCGCCCTAACCAAACTCTTTGGTTTTGCTTTGGCGTTTTACAGTGTAGGGTTTACGGTTTGGGTACGTAATCATAGCACCTGCCCCCACGAGGGCCACTTTGCGATGGCCAGAAAGCCGCGAATCCCTCAACGGGGGCTTGCAAGGCTCTTGCTCGCTCCACACAGTTGAAGTCATCCCAATTAGCTGGCAAGGGTGGATGAGGAGCAGGAGCTGCAGGAGGTGCGGCTGCTGCGTCCTCCCTCCTCGACCCCCTCCTCGTCAGCCGCAGCCTTCGTGACTGGACAGGACCGGCTGAGTCCGTCACTACGGCATGGTGAGGTGGAATAGGATCACAATGCCATCCCCGGCGACTGGCCATGTAAACAACGTGCATTGCGGATTTGACAGGGTCTCAGATTCCGGCGTTGGTGACGAGGGCCTTTACGGTCTCTGCGCTTAGGATTTTGGGTTTTGGATGCGGCTTTGCGTCATAGACTTTGGGATTCACGGCCTGAAGTGTTTTACCTCAAACCTTCACGCCCTCAAGCCCTCCTAAAGCCCTGAAGCGTGTTTGTAAAAAACCTTAAACCCTTTATGGAACAGAAAGGACTGTTGCGTGGGATGGAAACTTTTGGTTTGTACCTGTTCGAGATGCTCTTTTCTATAGCTTCAGGGCTAGTTTGGGGACGAAACTGCTGGTTTGTACCTGTTCGAGATGTTCGTTTATATAGCTTCAGGGCTAGTTTGGGGACTTGTTCCTTTCTGCCAACAGTCCTTTCTGCATGATTTCGACACGCGCGTGTATGTACTAGGCTCCTCGTGTTGACGTCTGCGTTTTAAAACACGGCTTGTGTTTTAAAACATGTGTTCGTAACGAAAGCCAAAAAAACCAAAAATACCAAAAAAAACAAAAATACCAAAAAACAACCAAAAATACCAAAAAACACCAAAGAAATCCACACTAGTCCAGACTCCGGAGTAGTGTGGAAATCTTTGGTTTTTTTTTTGGTATTTTTGTTTTTT